CAAGTGTACTTGAGTATTTTATCAAAATTGTTTAAAATATTGTATTAGTTTCCTAGTGCTGTTGTAACAAAATAGCACAAACTGGGTCACCTTAAACAACAGAAACTTATTCTCTCACAGTTCTGGGGGGCTGAAAGTCTGAAATCAAGGTTTCTGCCAGATCAAGGGCTTTAGGGAGGAATCCTTCTTTACCACTTGCAGCTTTTGGTGTTTGCCATCAATCCTTGGTATTTCTTGGCTTGCGGACTCATTGCTCCAATCTCTGACTCCTTTGTCACACAGGAGTGTGTATCTGTGTTTCTATATCTTCACATCATCTTTCTTCTGTGTATGTGCCTGTGCCCCAAATTCCCTTTTCTTAGGAAATTGATCATATTGGATTTTGTGACCACCTTAATCCAGTATGACTACATCTTAATCTTATTACATCTGCAAAGACCGTATGTACAAATAAAGTCACTGTCTTAGTTGGTTTGGGCTGCTATAATAAAAATAAAATAGACTGGTGGGTTTAAACATCAGACATTTATTTCTCACAGGCCTGGGAGGCTGGGAAGTCCAAGATCAAGGCACTAGTTGTCTCAGAGTCTGGAGAGAGTCCACTTCCTGGTTAATAGACAGCTGTCTTTTCACTGTGTCCTCACATGGTAGAAGGGGTGAAAGCTCTCTGGGGTCTTTTTTTAAGGGCACTAATCCCATCATGAGTGCTCCACCCATACAATATAATCTCCTCCCAGAGGCCACACCTCCTAATAACATCACATTGGGAGTTAGGATCTCAACAAACCAGTTTTGTGGGGGACAACAACATTCACAATAGTCATATTCACAGGTTGTAAATGGACATGAGTTTTTAGGGACACTATTCAACCCAGTACAAACATGAAATATCTGTGTTCTTGTAAGTACTAAGACTGACTACCCCAGCTGTGTGGGTGTCCTACAACAGTGGTCCCCAACCTTTTTGGCACCAGGGACTGGTTTTGTGGAAGACAATTTTTCCATGAACAGGGTTGCGGGGGGATGTTTCAGGCAGTAATGCGAGCGATGGGGAGCAATGGAGAGTGGCAGATGAAGTTTCACTTGCTCCCCTGCTGCTCACCTCCTGCTGTGCGGCTGAGTTCCTAACAGGCTGGGGATTGGTACCGGGGGTTGCGGACCCCCGTCCTACAATAAACAAAAATCTCACTGGAATATTCATCAACATACAATATATAATATTTCTCATTCTCCAGTACAGGGACTGGCAAACTTTTTCAAATATTTTAGGTTTTGCAGGCCAGATTGTCTCTGTTATAACTATTAACATCTGCTGTTGTAGCTCAAAAGAGAGAGACAAATACTGTATGCTAACACATATATATGGAATTTAAGAAAAAAAAATGTCATGAAGAACCTAGGGGTAAAACAGGAATAAAGACACAGACCTACTAGAGAATGGACTTGAGGATATGGGGAGGGGGAAGGGTAAGCTGTGACAAAGCAAGAGAGAGGCATGGACATATATACACTACCAAACTTAAAGTAGATAGCTAGTGGGAAGCAGCCGCATAGCACAGGGAGATCAGCTTGGTGCTTTGTGACCGCCTGGAGGGGTGGGATAGGGAGGGTGGGAGGGAAGGAGATGCAAGAGGGAAGAGATATGGAAACATATGTATATATATATAACTGATTCATTTTGTTGTAAAGCAGAAACTAACACACCATTGTAAAGCAATTATACTCCAATAAAGATGTAAAAAAAAAAAAATGAACCAAATGTAAGAGGTTTAATTTTTCCCCCCAGAATATCAAATAAATCATCTTACTGGAATAAAAGAGGTCAGTATCTGATAAAGAATCACTAACACTAACAAAAAGGAAAAAAAGAAAAAGAATCATCATCAACACTGAACGTGTGGAATACAGAGGAAGCCCATGTGGTGCTGAAATGATAACCTGAGGATTGCTTTCCTTTGATTTTGCTTTATTAGCTAGAAACACATTGGCCATGACTTCCCAGATTCTGATTGCAAGTTGTTCGATAATTCCAAAGGTTAACACAAAAGCACAAACATGGAACACTGAAGAGAAAGGTCAGGAAAGTAAGAAAAGAGGCAATAGCAACACTTCCTGGGAAGAAGAGTGACTGGGGAGAGGAAAACGTCAACCTATTGGCTAAATGACTCTACCCAGGTGAAACTGTCACCATGAAGCTCAATTCTGCCATGGATTTAATTGTCTAACTACCACTGAATTATTTTCTTGTTATATTATGAAATTTTACAGGCATTAATGAATTAAATGGTTTTACTTTCAAAAAAAAAAAACAGCCATAAACAATAGGTAAATACATGGGTGTAGGCCATGGTTTTGCCCACCCCTGCTATAGCAGAAAGAAATTATTTATTTATTTATTTATTTATTTTGTGGTACGCGGGCCTCTCACTGTTGTGGCCCCTCCCATTGCGGAGCACAGGCTCCGGACGCGCAGGCTCAGCGGCCATGGCTCATGGGCCTAGCCGCTCCGCGGCATGTGGGATCTTCCCGGACTGGGGCACAAACCCACGTCCCCTGCATCGGCAGGCGGACTCTCAACCACTGTGCCACCAGGGAAGCCCAGAAAGAAATTATTTTATAACTTAATAGGGTAAAATTTTTAAAATACCAAGGAAAATCTGTTCACTGAAAGCATTGTCCACAATTTTTCAAAACTCTGTCCTTATTCTTAATGCTACTTCAAGACCTAGAAAGCAAAACGCATCTTAAAAATCAAACTCATAGAAAGAAACAAAGAATCTTAAATTGTAAAATGTGAGTGTGGGGGTGACTTTTAAAGTTCAGACATGTGGCCTTTCTGAGTGCCAGGCTTTGTGCAACGTCACAGATTGTATCTCCTTGAAGCTAACTCTGTCTGAAAGTATTTTTGATATTTCATACTCTCAGTACACTCAGCCTTACCAAATGAGATTTTTAAAAACTCACTAAAAATAACTCACAAATGAATTAAATGCATAATATATTACATAAAGTGCCTAATACAGCATTTTGGACATTGAATAATGTCCCAATATTGAGAATTTTAGATGAATTTACTAGCATCCTTAATATTAACATTGAGTGGTGAGTGCTGCCAAATAAAGGTAATTTTAAATGGAATTTATTATATAATAAATATTAATAATAATATTCTTCTAGTTTTAGTATGATTGTAGTTAGTCAAATATCAATAAATAAGTTGTTACTGAGGTATATGATTTTTTTTTACATCTTTATTGGAGTATAATTGCTTTACAATGGTGTGTTAGTTTCTGCTTTATAACAAAGTGAATCAGCTATACATATACATATATCCCCATATCCCCTCCCTCTTGCGTCTCCCTCCCACCCTCCCTATCCCACCCCTCTAGGTGGACACAAAGCACTGAGCTGATTTCCCTGTGCTATGCGGCTGCTTCTCAGTAGCTATCTATTTTATATTTGATAGTGTATATATGCATGACTCTTTTTGAATTATGGTTTTCTCAGGGTATATGCCCAGTAGTGGGGTTGCTGGATCATATGGTAGTTCTACTTTTAGTTTTTTAAGGAACATACATACTGCTCTCCATAGTGGCTGTATCAGTTTACATTCCCAACAACAGTGCAAGAGGGTTTAATAACGTTTTAGCTATGAATGCTGTAAAATCAACATTCAGTGAACATTTTGAATCACTGAAAAAAAATCAATATTGTAGAAATGTTGCAAATCTCATCCATTTAAGTTTGATTGACAAAAGTTAAATTCCAAATACCATAAATTTTTGCCATTTTTTTAACATGAGAACTTTCTCTAGGAATGAAATTAACATCATCCACTTATTTCAAATATTGGGTTGGCCAAAAAGTTCGTTCAGGTTTTTCCATAAGATGTTGCAGAAAAATACGAGCAAACTTTTTGGCAAACCCAGTACATAGCTATTGCCACAAAGAAGGATATCCTGAAACTTGCACACAAAAAAACAGATTATACCAGAAGAGTCCCAGATCCTTTGAGTCAGTACCTCATGGCCTGAGCAAATTTTACCTGTGAATTATATTGCACTTCTTCCTCTGAACGGCATGCATCACCCTGTCACATCTATGAAGTCACCAAATCTCGTTGCATCTGTTCAACATTTTTTGTTAGATTGTTGTGACTCGAACCAGCTTCTCCATTCTTAACATGCTGCCTTAATTTGGGCTTCTAGATATTTCCTTCTAAAATACTAAATATTTCGATTTCTCTTTCTTATATCAGTCTGTACCCTTTCCAAACTATTCTCTACATTCTTCTCTAGGATACTTTTAAAAATGGAAATATTATCACAAAACTCCCCACTTTAAGTCCGTCAAAGACTGTCTTTAGAATAAATTTCAAACTTTTCTTTAGACAGCTTTATTGAGGTATAATTGATGAGAAACTGCACATATTTAAACTACACAGTTTGTTGAGTTTTGACATATGCATACACCCATGAAACCATCACTACAATAAAGGTAATAAGCATATCCATCACCTCCAAAGGTTTCCTTTTTCCCCTTTGTGTTTTTGTTTGGTTGTTTGTTTTCATTTTTTGTGTCTTTTGTGGTAAGAACACTTAACATGAGATTCCATCTTAACAAATGCACAACACAGTATTGCTAACTAAGGGCACAATGTTGTACAATAGATTCTAGAACTTATTAATCTTGTATAACTGAAACTTTACATGTTTTGAATGACTCTTCATCTATGTGATATACCACATTAGCAGAATGAATGATAAAAATCACATAATTATCTCAACAGAGGCAGAAATAAAATAGCATTTGACAAAATTCAACACACTTTCCTTTTAAAAACCCTCAAGAAACTAGGTATAGAATTTACCTCAACATACTAAATATCATATATTGACAAGCCCACAGCTAACACCATACTCAAATTGTGAAAAACTGGAAAGTTTTCTTCTAAGATAGGGAACAAGGTAAAGATGCACACTCATACCACTTTTATTCAACATAGTACTGGAAGTCCTAGCCAGAGAAACCTGGTAAGAAAAAGAAATAAAAGGCATCCAAATTAGAAAGGAAGAAGTAAAATTACCTCTGTTTGCAGATGACATGATCTTATATATAGAAAATCCTAAAGACTCCTCAAACTTCCTACATTAACACAAAATGTTCTTTAAGAACTTGGTCATATATATAATATATATGAAGCCTCCTATGTGTGTGCATATATAGCCTCAGCCCCTACTATGGCCATGCTGTCCATTATACAAAGCATTCTCTTTACCTGAAATCATATTCCACCTTACCTTTTTTAATTTAGCTAGATTCTAACTGTCCCTTAGGAGCCCTCAACTCAGCTTTAGCCCTATGAAGCCATTCTTGATTCTCCCAATCTGATTTAGATTATAATCTTCTTTGACTTTAATACAACCCATGTTTAATAGGTACACAGTATACACTCTATTGTAATTATAAATGATATGAGTTTTATCATCCAATAGAAAAGAAAGCTTACTGAAAGCAAGCAATATGTAGTGTGTACAGAAGGTAGAAAGTTGAGAAATGTTGCAGAGGCAAGTTGAGGCCACATAATAAAGGTCCTGGCATACCAGGGATAGAAAATTTTCATTGTCTGTGTAAGTGATGGAGTACAACTGATGTGTTTTTTTCTTTTTAAAACAGAATTATGGATTAGGAAGATCAGTCAGGTAATAATGACTAAAATGAAATGGAGAAGAGAAAAAATGTAAAAGAGAGCAGCCAGGAAATAGCAGTGTTAGTCTATTCTAGCTGAAACACACTAAACTGGAAAAATGGCAGTTGGGAAGGTGATCAGTTGAGGTGATTTGTTTGTTTTTCTTTGCTTTCCCTTGCACGGGTTAATTCTTCTTCTCACCAGCCCTTTATACCCTGGGACCTTTGAAAATTGTTCTAATAACCTCTACTTCTGAAGAGTTAAGAACTCTTTTCTCTATATAGTAAAATTGGTTTTTAGACCCTTCTCAAAAGATGTTTTCTATTTCCTTTTCCTGGTCCTAGTCCCATACATATTTATCTGATGAACATATTTTCAGATTCTTGAGCCTAAATCTTTTCATTAACGTTGTAGGACTTCAACATTTAACTAGAATTTCCAAATTGCAGGCACTGGAAGATTTTATAACCCCAGAGTTTGCTATACCAGTGATCTAATTATAATTTTTACTAATATTTATTTAAGGCTTACTATGAACCAACTATTAAGCTAAGCACTTTAACTGTAGTATCTCTTTCATTTAACCTCACAGCACTGAATTATAAGTCTTATTTTCAAAAATGAGAAAATTGATGCTTCAATAAGTGATGCAAGTTGCCAAGGCCACATAAATAACAAATGCTTAAGGAGGAATTCAAACTTAAGTCAAACAATAAAGCCTGTGGTCTTAATTACAAAAAAACTACCAACTTATGACTCCCCATATTCCAGAGCCAAGATATATATATGTGTGTGTGTGTGTGTGTGTGTGTGTGTGTGTGTGTGTGTGTTATGTGTTAAAGTGAATTGTGAGAAGTAGAAGAGGGTTTGTAAAAGGAAGGCTGGAGTTTTACATATGTCATGGTAGAGATAATAACAATATGACTGATTTTAAAATCTGTACATTGAAGTGGATCTAATGAATTTTATATGGAGGCAGATAAATAAAGTATGGAAAACAACAACCACATTAGCATAATGGGAATATGGTTCTGCCTAAGTGGCTAGAGAAAATTATTTTTTAACCATTAATGCAAATATGTAGTGTTTCATTTTCTATCTTCTGATCATTTTAAATAACGTGCCTGTGTAGTAAACAGAGGGCTTTTTTCTATAAAAGATCATTGTAATATTTGGTTTTTCCAAATTCAGCAAAACATCCCAAATGAGCTCATTTGTTGAGGTCTTATAGACAAAACAGACATTTAATTCTTCAGATTTTCACTGTTTGTGTAATTATTTTTGTATTTTGATATTTAAACAATGTAAAATATTATTATATAACAGTTAATTAGTAAATATTGATAAGATAATCCAGAATTCTGCTAGACAACACAATAAAACTAGAACATTTTCTCTATATTTTAAATTTTAAAAATAGAAGGGCTATTTTTAAACTCAAAAATTGTACTCTCTGACATTACATAACTTCAAAATATCATCATATTCCTCATAACAAGAAGAGCATAATTTTTTAGGATTAAAGAAATTCAAGATGAAGTTTATTAGTGAAATAATTTACAATAGCTCAGTGGGGATGCTGAATAAGAGGGTGTGTGAAGAAAGACAGTTCCCTTGGTTCAAACATGTGGATGCAAAGCTTTGTAAAAGTTACTTTGAAATATCTGACTCCTAAAGTTTATTTTAATCCTTTATTCTGTGTATAATGAATTGATTATATTTTACAGTTTTATTTTATAAATATTTTTCTAAGTGTATGTATGACCCTTCACATATTCTCTAGAAAATGTAGAAGTATACTTACAGATTAAATTTTTAGACTCATTTTTTGAAGCTATGGAAGATAGACTCTTTCCCTAGCCCCCCTTTGCATTTTTTTTAGTCCAGGCCCATATTCTCTGTTCAAACCTATGAAAATATTAAGGAAATGGTATTAACTAATGTTAAGCAAGATTTATGTTTCTTAGAGAAGCACTTAACTTCATTATGTTCATTTTTTGACCATCTATTTTGCTATATATGAAATGGCTATTGGGTTACTTGATAAACTTCTGGTTTCTACAGATATAAATTTAATTGTTCTATATTTCCATACTTTATGTTCCTGAAATTATACTTCATATTCATATTTTACTTGCTCTATCCAAACAATTTTTTGAAAATAAATATACAGATACTGCAGAGTAAGCCTATTATTTCAAAATAAATAATAATGTTAAGGCATGTTGAATATCTAAACAACAATAATTGTTCACTCTGAAAAAAAAATTTCTTTTTTGTATCTTATTCACTAAGTAAACCATTCAACATTTTTAAAGCACTTATTATATTTCATGCAGTATAGTAAGTTGTGAAGGGATATAAAAATGATGCAAGTTTCTACCAGTAAAGACATGAGGAATATGGTCATTACTGATAACTCATGAATCAAAGAAGAATGAAAATATTCTTAGAGTGTAAGGGTGGAAAAGTAGTCACAATGGTGGCGAGTGATATTTGAGTTAGGCCACAAAGATTAATAGAATTTTGTTAGGCATATATAAGGAGATCAAAGAGAAATCTGGGTAAAGAGAATAGTATGAAAAAAAAGGCATAGAAGATAAAAGCATTACAAAGGTATGAGACTTTGAAATTTAGGAAGTCCTTAATAACCAGACTAGAAAACAACCTGAGATTCTTCCTTCTCCCTAAGTTCATATACTCAGTCATTAATCTCATTGCATCTTCCTCCAAGATGCTTTTATTACTTCTCCATTTTCACTGCTGTGGTCCTAATATAGATCTTTATCATCTTGATCAGTGGTTCTCAACTAAGGGTGGTTTTGCCCCCAAGGGGATATTTGACAGTGTCTAGATATATTTGTGATACAACTAGAAGCAGGGTACTAATGAGATCTGGTGGATAGAGGCCAAGGACGATAGTAAATATCCTACAATCCCACAACAAAGAATTATCTGACCCAAAACGTCAGCAGTGCCAAGGTAGAGAAACCCTAATCTAGATTATGCGAAAATCTCCCTAACCTTATCCCTACTTCAAGGATTGCCCAAGGAGTGCAAAGAAATCATCTAGTCATGTCATACCACTTACTGAGTTTGAGTTGTCTATGTATTATTCAAGAAAATATATTTATTAGATTTATTAGTTGAAACACCTAATTTTGGGGTCAATAGAGAAATAATATCTGGAGATACTAGTTAGATATGAATGAAGTAAAAAGGATATAGATCAAAATACAGAGAAGGCTAAATCTTCTTGAGAAAATATTTAAAAGGAAAGGAGGAAGTAAAAACTTTTATATTTAAATGTGAATGAAGATAGGCCAGCCAATAAAAAAAATAAATAAACACAAAACCAAGACAGAACTATCAGGAAGGTGGAAGGAGAAGAAGAGCTCTTAATAAAGCACATGTCTTTAGTCACTCTCCACCTTTGTGAACTTGGCCACCATCCCCAGCATGCCCTTGCTTCCTATTAGGATGAGTAGCAATTCCATTTATCCCAAACATGCATTTGTTATTTATCTTCCTAATATTTTTAAGCTCTCTGTTCATTCTCATTCTTAGGAAAATCTTTAAAGCAATAGAACCAAAGGAAAAGCAACCAAGTTCTTTCAAAATGTGAAAATTAGGGGGTTACAGAATATAAGGAAGAGGAAATATCAGTGGACACAAAATCCCAGTTGACTACAAACCCTCTCTTAACTATCAGCTCTTTCAATCCATGTCCTGATGTACCAAGGATGATCAGGGAAGTGAAATGGCACTCTTTCATCAATCAATTCCAGGACGTCTTTAAAGTGCTCTCTAGTTCAGGACAGAGGCCATTTTTCTTACAGAAAAACAAAATTCCCTTGGCAGAAGTTGGGCTGAAACATTTTGCCCAACACAGTAATTTTGGCATTTTAAAATTACCAGGTGGTCACATTACACATGCTTATAATTATTTGGATTTTAAAAAATCTTGAAGTGGCTGTGTTGAGTGAACAACCTATTTCAATATTTGGCCCAACTTTTCCCTGGGGTGAGGTAAAAGCCTTTATTTGTATTAGATTCTGCCTGCATTAAGACACCACTTAAATATTTTGATTTCATTGATTTGTTAAAACTATCAAATGGTTTACTTAGTAAAATAAATATTCACTTCAGAAAATAAAATAAACCAATTACTGTACGTAGTTTCATCCACATAATTAGAAGGCATTAGACCATTCACTTAACTGCTCAAACAGAAGTAAAGACTCTCTTTTTCACTCTTGTGATCACATCTTTTTTGTATTCCTGAGGCTGTGCACCATAAATATAGGCATTGAGAGGAAGGAAAAAAAGAAAGTGAGATGCTAGCAAATTCAAAAATTATAAGAAACAAAAAACCTAAAAGTGAGAAAACATTACTCTTCTATTTGTTTGTTTCTCTTGTCTATATACCTCAATGCATTTATTTGAGGAATAATAAATTACACTATACAGGTTTATGGCAGAAAATGTGAAATGAGAATAAATTAAATATTATACTATATATTTATTTATTTTTCATATATTTATTGACCACCTACTATGTGCAAGGTGCTAACCTTACCACTGTTTACATAGCTGCATTTGCATAGATGCATTTACAGTTATAACAAGACAAGAAAGCACTTTTTTTGAGCTTGAAGTTTAGAATAAGAGACAGAAATTGAAGAACCAATTACACAATTATTTTATTAAAATGCCAATAAATATTATATTTATTTTAATAACATAAGGACAAGTCATAATATAAGGACTTAAGTCTAGAGGTTTGAATAAAGTTTTCTCAATGAGATCATGAATGAATTGAACTTTGAAGATTTGTGGCAATAAGGTAGATGAGAAAGAGGGAAAAATTCATTCTGGGAAGAGGAAAAGTCATGGCAGAATGTTTTTAGGTAGAAGGGAGAATGAATCATTTGAGGAACAGTGAAATATGCCACGAAGAATATAGGGTGGAAAAGGAGCTGTGTTGGAGACTCTGTAAAGAATAAAATGAGCAAGGGTCAAATCATGTATATTCTCCTAATTCATGTTAAGATGGCAGTTTTTATCCCACATCAGTGGAAACTGTTAAAATTTTGAAACAGGATCCTGGTGGGGGAGTTAGTATTTCCATTGTGTACATGCTTCTTTGGCTGCAGTATGAAAAGCAAATTAAAGGAGGGAGGAAGGCACTCAGGGAAACAACTAAGAAAGAATACATTTCCTTAGGTAGAGACTAGGTAGAAAGGTCTAGGCTGGTATTGGTGGAGATACAGAAAAGCAAAGAGATTTGAATTATTTAGGGGTTAAAATAGGCAGAACTAGATAATGCATAACTTGTAGGCTGTGATGAAAGAAAGGTGGGGGAATTGGGACTTCAGATTTATAGTTTGAAAAACTAGGTGTTTGGAAGTATCTTTCTATAAAATGGGGACAACATTTCACTTTAAAAATTAACGTTAGAGAAGGATCAATTTTGGTATAAATTTTGAAATGCCAATTAGATATCCAAAGAGGTGAGAAAGTATGCAGGACAACATGTGGCATTTAATATGCATTCAGTATGTAGTAGCTTAAAAATGAATTTGTGAATGAATGAATGAAGAAAACAGCATGATATTTGTTTGTTATAAAGTATAAATACTTATCATAAAAAAGTGGAAAATGCACAGAAAATTGAGTTACTTGCCAAAGGTCATCTGGAAACATAAAGGAAATAATTAAAATAAAATGGAAAAGAAGCACAAGCTTATATTAAATTATGCTGAGACCAGTACCTATTTATTTTTTAAATTGAAACACTTTTCTCTGAACTTATGATACATTGAAATTCATTGAAAATATTATTCATACACATATCTAAGTCAAATACATAATCTACCAAATAGTTTCTGGCATATATTTTCATTTTAGTATTTCTTCAGAACATACTATGAAAATACATGGGATAAATGGGATTTATAAGGAGCGACTTAGCAATTTTTTGGATAAATAAATAAGAAATGAAAATCTAATTTAAAAACATATCACAAGACTAACTTACTTGTTATATATATAAAGTACATTTTAATAGATCTTATACAGAATGTTTCTTTTACATTTCAATTGCATTTGTAAGCAATGTTGTCCATTATCCAATATTATTTCTTATTAGTTGTGTCTTACCTTTATTCAGTTTTTACTATTGAATTTGCTATAGGAGATTATGTTTGGTAATAAGATTTTAAGTATAACAACATTATATTGGGATATATATATATTTTTTTTTCAATTCAAATGAAATCTTTTTTCCAAGTTTACAATCAACCATTTCCCTCCATAACTTAATTTACTGGAAATAAGGAGCATACAGGTAGTACATTTCAGTGATTCAAAATTCTTTAATAGAGGAAAAATTATGTCTTAGCTTTGAGAAAAGTTATTTTCATGAATAAAATGATTCTTATATTCACAGATCGTAAGGTAGTCATTCTGCAGTACATTTTTAGATTTGTAACTATTTTTGAGTGGAAGATCATGATTAAATCTAAATCCCCAATTTCAGTGATGGGGTGAACATCAGAATTGTTACTTTGATATCCTTTGATATTTAGGTTGAGTTGAGGAAATATAATTTAAAACATAATCTTCCAACCTTAAAAGCCTCTCCACAAAGATAGAAGAGAAAGAAAACTATAAACCAGAATGTGATATACATCACAGGCAATCCACCGAAGAGACTGCAGAAAGAAAGAAACAATATCTTTTTATACAGCTAATCAGATACTCCCCATTACATAAATGTTCTCAAGATAAACAATAACTAGTCCTCAGGTAAGAGACTTGACAACAGCACCTGTTCTACCAAGTTCATCCTAAACTCACTTGGCAATGGGGTGACCTTGTGTGTTAGCTAACTGGCATTATCCAGAAACATAAACATCTTGTATCCTTATGACAAGAGCTAGCTTCCTAACTTGGAGTGAGGCACCCACTGATGTTAGGTTCCTACCCTCCCACAAAACTCAGAGATACAGCTGATGTCTTCCTTGATGATTACATGTCAAAGATGTTCCCCAGGTCTTGAGAAAGACACTCCTGGGTCTTAAAGCTGGCAAGAAGCTTAATTAGCTTTAAAACAACTTACATACATTTCAAAGTGACACAGAAGAAGCTTATAATTACAAGTTTTCTCAAGCAAATTCTCTAAGAGAGAAGTCTTGGTCAGAGGAGTCTCTTAGCTATGTTCAACATGAAGAATTAAGTATCTTATTTTTAATTCTTATTTATTTGCCTTTTCCAACTCCTGCCTGTGTTACTATTAAATAGTAACAATTTTATAATTATGTCCATTGCTATTTCTACCATTCTCTGGGAAAACTGCAGCCATCTAAATATCCAGTAAATACACAGTGAAATATAAAGCAAAGCAATTATCAAAATTGTGATGGAATAGCAGAGTTACTGATTTTTCAAAAACTCAGTACATTATTTGCCTTTGGGAAATAACCTTTGACTATATCATATCAATGGTAAAAGGTTAAATAAAATTCTTAGTTAGCAATGAATAACAATTTTTCCTAGTCATACATGAATTTTACAAATTGTTGTGATATCTTTGTTGCCTGGGTTTTCAATTAATAACTATCTAAATATTGTGTGGTGGATCCTTATGAAGTCTTTCCCCACCTTAGTGTAAGGAGTAGCTTAACTCTGTATCCTAATAGTCTAAATTTTTAATTAAGTTTTTCTTGCAAGGCCTAATAAATTTCTCCTGCATTTTAGAGAATTACATAAGTACCATCACATTTATATGATTCTAGGACCTTTACTAATTGTTTTATCTTTACAAATAATTTCCCCAGATATGAAACACAATGATATCCATGGCCATCATCTAGTATAAAAGTCTTATTATGAGGCACCCATTGAAAGGTACAGATTGAAATTCTAGTGTGTAATGTATATGGCTCTAACTGTTTTAAGTCTTTAGGACAAACCCATACTGTGGGTGTTTTTGTTTTGTTTTGCTTACTTTGGGTCTAAATCAATAGTTATACTATTATAACAGTTAACAAAATCTCCCTGAATAACAGGCATTAATATTTATTTATCGACCTATATTGGGACTAGAGAGAAATTGCACCCTGAAATTAACCAAGTAACATTAACTCTGTCTTTTTCAGTCTCTATATTACAACTCCAAATTTCTGTTTTCCTATTAATTAGAATTTTTACATCATCTTTCCAATCAAACCAGTTAAAATATTCGTGTTTCACATTTCAGGATTGAGTAGCTGGAGGCATGTTAGTCACTTTTACTTTGTCATTATCAAAAATTACTAATGAAGATGATCTCTCTTTTACTCTGTCATTAATCAGATTGTTGGACTTATAAGTCCAGACACTGCTTACACTGACAGGACAGTTTAGAGCTGATGGGAAATGAGACTGTGGGAGCCATTACTGGGAGGACAGAAAGAAAACAAAAAATAACAAGTAATTTCTGTTTTCTAGTAAACTGTGATTCTTAAAGTAATCAAAATAACCTCACTGTGATTATGACAGCAAGACAGTCTACAAGAAAAGTAATATGTTTTCTAGAACACTTGTTTTCATTTGAGTTCAGTACTAGTATCAGTTAGTCTTGAAAACTTAAGTTTCAAATCCTTTGTGGGAACCACAGTCCAGTCCTGTTGTGCTGGCATTACATGGGGAAGCATGAATTCTTGTGAGTTTTTGTTAACTCTGAGAGCTGAATGGATGATCAGTAACACTTGAAAGGCTCTTCTCAGCAGGGTAACAGTCTATCTTTCTTACAGAACACCTACGTGTAGATGAAATATCCCTGTCCATAGGGACAGGTCCTTCCAGATCCTTATGGCTTTAAGTCTCAGGGTTTTTATGGAAGAAAGAAGCCCTTTTAAGTATTGAAAATGATTGTGATTATGAGAAGATTCACTGAAGTCCAATAGAGGGCATGATCTCAGACTCGAATTCATACATTCAAGGCCTGCCAAACATACATTCAAAGGGAGAGATTCTGTGTTTGTGTGCAGGGGTCATTCTAGCAAGGCTAATGGTAAAACTCTGGGCCATTTCAACCAGTTAGATAGATGAATCTTAGCCAATGAATTTTTTAAACGTTTGATTCAATCATTCTACTTGATTGTAGTCTAACAGACGACCATACTGTTACCTCAACACCAACCGATCAGAGGAGGGTTACATACCCTTCAGCCCTCCCCTCAAATTCCAAATTTGAGGAAGGGTGTATGATAATGTATAGGAATCTGCAAACATTTGCAT